TTTGGTTTAGATAGGTTTAAATTTACTTACCAATATGGGCACAGAATAATACAAAGAAGCAAGATTTCTGGTAATTGACTCCATCAGATCCTAAACTCTGCAGGATTCATTGATTCTGGCAGGGCAAATGTAGGAAGGCACCTGGACACAAAGAAAAGTATTCCAGCTGCCAGTCTGGTGAAGTTGTGAAAACCTTCCTGGACAAACAAAGCAGTAGCTCAGAAAGATGAAAGCTCCTGGTCTGATGAATGTGCATGAAATGCTTTGCTTATGCTTACAGTTCCCTGGAAAGGATGAGTGATGTACTATAGTTAAATGACCTACCCTTGAAAATACTTCCCTGATCATGCTGGCAAGATGAAATTAGCTTGTGCTTATACCACTGTGTTGGGTTGCCAGGCTAAGTGATCTAAAGGGATGAGGGTGAAAAGAGAAGCTAAAAATCCCAGATTGGGTGGGATCCCATTCAATTGGTGAGGTGTTGCAATGAGTTCAGATCTGGGCAATCAGAAGAATTATGTTTTTTGTGCAGAGGCTGACATCAATAGCTAGATTACAATTGTTCCTGGATACTATGTCATAAATGAAGCATTTTGCTTATTGTTTCTTTATTTACACTATACAGTTTGTCCTTGTTTAGCTTCTGTCTCATTTAGTGACCATTCACATTTACAACAGTGATGACAAAATAACTTTGCAACCAATCCTTGCATTTATGACGAGACGTCCAGATATTTCGTTTCCTTTTGACTTTATTCTAGTATTCATGTTAGTACAAAAGTGAATCGTTAGAAAGGTGAATTGTTGACTCAACGACCAGGGTTAACACTAACAATTTGTTCCTGATAGATATATCGAACGGGGTAAAATTTTTCTCCTAATTCCTGGATATATTTGTTACCTTTAGTTATCAATTTTTACAAGGATGCCAAAGGTGCCATTTGTTTAATCTAAAAGTCAAATGACCAGTGGAGAAGTGTTGTTTTGGCCCTACAGTGCAAATATTTTGAAAAATACAAGTATTTTGAAATACTTGTAGAGTAGGGACAAGCCATATTTCTAGGGAAAGTGTATACCATAAAATGGAGGCCACCACTGAGAAGATTTGTTGCCTGGACAGAATCCCACGAATCTCTCAAAATAATAGAAAATTAACATTTAGCATTTTAATTATTAATTTGGGAGAAAAAAGGATACTCAAAGCTGTAAAAGGAAAGAGAATAATTCGATATAACAGGCTTACTTGTCCCAATTCATAGTGATATAATATCCCAAACTTTAGTGGTTATTGGTTCTCCATCTCTACTCAAAGCTAATTAGGTGGTGTTCCAACCTGAAACTCAGAAGACTATTGATCTTCACTTCCTGAAGGGGTAGTACGGTAGGAAAAAGCACTGTAGTTTGTTGTATCACCTGCAACAGACATCATTTGTACTGGGTGATGCAATTCTGATTGCACTGGGGGTTGCATCAGAGAATAAAACTGGTGTCATTCTGATTGGAATATCTATTCCTGCTTGATTATCAGCATTCCTGCTTTTATCACCCATTCTGGTAGTGCACTGGAGGAATGGGGAGGGCTTGGCATCTGCCAAAAAGAAGACCTGGATTCTCTTTTCGGCCATTAGTGCTGGGAGCAACAAGCAGAGATTTGTTTGTTTGTTTTTGTACCAGTAAGAAAGACCACTTCTACTAATGGACATCTCTTTCTATGACAAAAGATCCGTGCTATTTTATGGTCCCTAGTGTGCCTTTCCAGAGACCTAGAATTTCAGTCCAGATGTATTATATATGACAAACCTTTGTAGAAAAGTCTACCAAAGCAAAATGAGCAAAAGGACAGCTGAGCAGCGATTAAGCACAGTTTAACTAGGAATTATTGCATTTCACTGAGAGACAGTGCTAGAACAGCTGCTGGATCATGGAAGGCTACCTCTGTGCTTTATTACCATGAAATGAATGGGTGTCAGGAAGCATGACAGAATTCTAATAAGTAAAATAGAACTTAGAATCTAATATGTCAGAAACAAAATGCCAGACATTGTCATTTTTAATCCATAAAAATGTCCGGGAAACTTCTTCTCTTTTATTATCATGAAACATTTAAACATACACTCACACACATCTTTTCTTTAATCTCAGGTCAAGGTCACCACAATAGTATGTCCAATAACAACTAGTTAATCCATTCACAAAGGCAAATTTCCCCTTTGCAAGGCTGAAAACACAACATTTGGCAGAGAATACACCTGTGAAACTCTCACTCCTTTAGACATGGAGCAGAGGTTGATGCTAAAAGTTAAGTCTCACTCCTGCCTTTTCAGTCTTAGGTATATCATGCCATCCAAATTGCTGTTTGTGAAACATCACAAAAATGGTACTTGAGATGCAAAACCACAAAGTAAAAGATAACAAAGAAATCCTTGTGGGTTGTTATTATTATTGGTTTATTATTCAACTGAAGGCAGGGAACATAACCAATTCTCTCATTTTCTATTTTCCCCACAACAACAACCCTATGAAGTGGTTTGGGCTGAAAGAGAGCAACTGGACCAAAGTCACCCAGCTGAGTTTCATGCCTAAGAAAGGCCTAGAACTGAGAGTCTTCTGATTTCTTGGCCAGTTCCTTACACCAAACTGGCTGTCAGTCGCTCACAACGCAAAATGTATAATTGTTAGAAGAGGACCAATAAAGGAGAGTATTTGTAGGTCAGGGTTGAAATGTGGGATCCTTGGTGCTCTGTGAACTTGGTTGTTTTCTTACAGACATTTCATTACCCAACTTGGGCGACATCATCAGTGTTAGAGTTAGAAGAGTTTGTAGATTTGTTACAGTACATGAATATTTCTGCTGGATGAGATTGAAGCCCATCATGATCTAGCGCTTGGTTTCTTACTGTGGTCAACCAGATTCTTTGAGGCACTTGTAAGCAAGGCACTTGTAAGCAAGACAGAGCCCCCTGCCACCCATTCACCTTCAAGTGATGTGTGGAGGCATATTGTTCCCTGGGCATGGAGTCTTCATGACTAATAACCCTTGATAGCAATGCTTCCCATGAATGCATTCAGTCTGTTTTTAAAGCCATCCACTGGACTCACCACTGCAACATAGTGTGGCAATAAATTCTGCAGGTTAATCATCTGCTCTTTTAAGAATGCAGATCCCTGGTTCTGATGATTTCCTCCTTGCTCTGGTAAAAACAGTAGTTCCAACCTTTAAAAAAAAAAAACTTCTTTCAAAGAATACAGAGGGTTTATGAAATTCTAAAGCAGGAGCCGTGAATTTTAATTTGAATGGACAGGTACAAAACCTCGAATGATTTCATGAATACTTAACACGCATTTGCCCAGTAAACTATGCCAGACTTTCCAAACCAAGTTGCACCAATTACCATAATTCCCAGACGGTATGGCTGGAAATTAGAGAAGATAATGTCTAACATCGCTGAAGGAAATCAGCTTAACGGAAGCTACTTTATACAATAATGTGCTTAACAAAATTTTGATAAAATAATAGATGGCATAGCACCAATATTTTATAAGACTTTATAGTTACCTTTCCTCGTTCTCATTCTCTTGCCAGCTTTGTTTTTATGTTGGAGATGGTTTTATTTTATTTAAAGTTATTGTTCTGTGGCTTTACTTCTTTCTATGGTTTTAAATTGCTTTTCTAAGTTGCTAGGGGAATATTGCTTATTACGAGTAAACCTTAAAATTATCCATATAAATAAATAGATTCCTGTTTGAATTGCCATTTAATGAAGTATCAAAAAAGTTGGTTTCATTTGCATAACATAAAAATGTTTCTAAACAATTATCAGTGTTCTGATTATTTTAAACTGTTCAACGGTTCCCTAAAGTTTGTTACCTATGATTGCTATGGATTTTCAAAAATCTGAGAACCACTCAATTTTTTTAAACTGAAAAGTGGAATAGTAGTATCTTCAGTGAATTGGTTTTTAATTTTTCCAATTGTAACCTTTAATAATCATTATTTATAAAAATAAATTTCTTCAGCGAACCTTTTACAGGCTTTAGTATTGTGAAAGCAGGAGGCAGGGGGAGACTATATTCCTTGATCCAACTTTTAGAAAGATTGTGATTTTCAGTAACTTTGAACAAACCAAAAAATATTCTTTATCTTTTCAAAAACACTTCTAATTAAAAAGCTTCTTGAGATCATTATTCAATATTGGAAAAGATTTTTTATAATTTCTGGCTATAACCTGCTTTTTAAAAAAATTCTATATGACGGTTATATTTGTGTGGAAAAAAAAGTCCTTTCATTTAACAGGTCTCTTTAGGGCAATTTTTATAAAAGTACAGAGCTTATTCAAGGCTGCCAACATTTCACGATGACACCTTCAGTGGGCATATAAATCTAAGGCATAAACTTAAATCTAGGATTAGCATAGTCCTTGAGGAGGCACACTTATTGTTTAGTCTTTCTTTTTTTAAATTGAAGAGGTTTTTTTTTTAAAAAAGTTTGGCACTGCAGAAGATATTTAAATACACAAAATTGATTGCATCAGCATATTCAGCCATCTCATGACAATGCTTTATATCAGCTTTTTCCAAGTTGGCCTCCCGATATATGGGACTACAAATATCACTGTCCCCAATGAATGCTCAATAACTAGAAATGGTGGACATTGTTGTCCACCATAATCAGATTGTGGAAGATTGCTATATATAGAGGCATCAACATTTGGAAAAGCTGTTTTTTCTTCACTACATTTCCTTTAAATATTTGTCAGTAAGAGACCTGCGATTAATTTCACATTAAGTCTAAATTGCGAGGCTATGATGCACATTAGAAAATCACTGTTGAATTTTTATTTACATTTTAACATGTTCCTGCTGAGACGGCATCAAAATTTGGTGAAATGAAACATTTGAAGCACGTGGGGTACGGAAAAGATAACTTTATATATTTTGATGCTGCCACTGTTCTCATATGAAAACGTAACTTGATGTGAATCTCTTTGTTTCATTTGCAGGTGAGCAGGTCAAACCATTTACACCAGAAGAAGCTAAAGAAATTGTGATGACTCTTCAAAAACCAGTGGTCTTCAGCAACATGACTTTCGATTGGCCGGTACTTCATTGGAATGTTACACATCTGGCTAGTCTATTGGCTGGAAAGAAAATACTTTTTAGAATAGGAAGGAAGGACACAGGTAGAGAAATAACAACCTTCTTTCTCATTTTTCCCTGTACAGATATAGTACTTCAGATGTATTTTCTCCTTAAAATAAATGGGAAATGCTGCAGGATGGTTCACAGTAATATCATCCATTCTAAAATGATAAAGAACAATAATAAAGCATGTCCATTGTGAGACAGATTATCAATTAAGTGCCCTCCAAGTATATAGTGAAGTGAAACATCCATTGATATCCATCCACCACGGGTAACCAATATTCCTGAAAGAAATTCTTTCTTTTCCCTTAAGCCTTCCATCTCCACATCTAATTCTAAGTGTCTGGAGGAACCCTAATGATCAGATTCTTTCCAAGGGATGGGAGGAAGTTTACCTGTGTGAATGGAAGCCCACTGACATAAAGTTTGACATTATGCAGGTAGTCCTTGACCTACAACATTTCATTTAATGACTGTTCAAAGTTATAATAGCTCTGAAAAAATGACTTATGGGCATTTTTCATACTTACAATGGTTGCAGCATCCCCGTGGTCAGACTCTTGGCAACGGACTCATATTTATGACAGTTGCATTATCCTGGGTCATGTGATCACCTTTTGTGACCTTCTGACAATGTCAGTGGGGAAGCCAGATTCACTTAATCGTGTTATTAACTTAACAACAGCAGTCATTCATTTAACTGTGGCAAGAAAGGTCGTAAAATGGGCAAAATTTAGCAGCAGAAATTTTAGGCTCATCCACAAAATATTATAGATTCAATAAAACATACTGTAAAATAACTATGTATAAATACAATGAACATAATGGAGTGAAAGGAAGTACCTCTGAGTACAGAGTATATTGTTTGCTGTTGAAAAATCCTGTTAGAACTAGAACTCTAGTTGTAAATTATTGCTTAGAACCTGTCCATAGTAAATACAATACATATTAACAAGGGATTTTATTCACTTCTTTAGAAATGTCTGTACTGTGTTTGTTGTTCTGAGTTGTGTTGATATACAGCTGGGATTGGGAGAACAGACAATGGCCAATCCTGCTTAGGCAATTTTATTTTGACTTCCAGAAATGTCTGGGATCCAAGGAATATTGATTTTATATTGAAATGAAAATGCTGTCTTCTATTATTTATATGGAACTTATCTGATTTTATTCATGTAAAGGTCTCTAGAATCCTTTGATGAAAGATGCTGTGTAAAATGTTTTACTAAGAAACAGGCTTGTACTTTTATTGTAGGTTAACTCTGAAATATAGATGGCCAATTATTTTCCTCTTTTGTCCCCCCCCCTAAATTCCACACTTTCAGCTTTGTAGTTGTCTATATATAGTAAATTTGGTAGCAACATTAATTGAAAGGCAGCATTAGGATATGGAAAAGTCAGTTTTAGAGGGAAGATATTATTTTGTAGTAAAATACATTAAGGTCTTTTGGTAGACTACTCCCCATCTTTTGACATTTAAAAAGGAATAAGAAACTGAGAGAGTTATCCTAAAATGCATGACCTGATGAAAGTTATGACTATCCTATTGCTTTCTATCATTCAGATTTTTTAATGAGTGGAGGTTTTCAAGCTAACTTCATTTAAAAAAAAACTTTTCTTATTCCATTATCACTAGACAACTATACTTAATTGATAATTTTTAATTATTTACCATGAAAGTATGAATAATTCAGAACATAATGAATAATTTTTTTCTTGCTGAATCAGAGATAAATTACTCAAAATCTCTGTTCAGGGGGTCACAGAACAAGCTATATAATCTTTTGACTATGTCAATAATAACCAGAATTTTGCACATAAAATATCCAAGTAATAAATGTAATAGTTCTTGTTAAGAATTTGCAAGAAATTGATGATAGCTCAGATTGCAGATTGTATACTAAATTCAGCCAACTCAGTGTACTAGAAATGTTTTCAACCTACATGTATAATTCCTTACCATTGGCTTTACTGGCTAAACTTATAAGATTTGAATCCCAAAACATCTGGACAGTACCACATTGTCTGTCTTTGGGGCATATTTTTTGAGAAGCACTGGAATGAACTTTGGATCTTTCCTCCTTCAGCTTTCCCCCCCTCTCTTCTAGAGCAGATGGATCAGGCACATGGTACTTTATTTAGTTGTTTGTTTATTATTTCTCATATACCGTAGTCCACTTTCACTTCAGAGGCAGACTATGGTTGATCTTATTTTTGTACTCTACTAGAAACTGCAGATTAACTGCATTTTTTAAAGAAGAAACATCCATTAAATTTTACATTTGGACAATTTAAGAGAAAACTTTAAGCGTGTACTTTTAAAAGAAAGGTGATTTGGGGTTTTATTTTTGCTTTTGTCTGAAATAAATCAGAATGTTTGAGAACCTCAAAGCAGCCATTCCCATGCAGTCAGAGTAATAAGAGATAAGTACTCTCTGAGCATTGCCTTGCTTGGAAGAATGAAAAGTATCCACACTGTATTTAAATAATTGGACATAATGAGTCAAATGAAGAGTTAGCAATTTTTCTGCCATTCATGCATTCTGCTGCAATTTGGTTTCCTCAGCAACAGTAGTTTTGGCCAATGTGTAATATTGTGCATTATGTTTTTGGGTTGAAGGACTAGTTCTTGTAATGAGAAATGAAAGTCTGATAAGCCATAAGGATCATTGCAATATTGTGGAAACAAAAATAAAGCACCCCCTTTTTCCTTATATGGGAAAATTTTGGGGTAAGGAAGAAGTTCATTTTATGCAAATATTGTGTTTGCTAGTACACTTTCTAGTTCTCTTTACATTTCTGCATTTCAGGTAATGCAAAAGTGTGTATGATTACGCAAAGCCAAAAGTACAATTAGTTCATCCCTTTGGTATCTACTGTGCATAAAATTAGGCAGTTTTAACTAGAGTTTTCATTGCATAGTAATAGATTTGCATTCCACTTACAATATTGTCTATTCTGTTGAGGTTGGCGCACTCAAGAAACAAAAAGTACCCAGATTTCTGGAGTACTGTTTTTGGGAAGTAGGATAAATTAATAGAATCTTGAAAGCCTGCCAAAACAAGTCTCCAGATAAACTGATAGCTAACAAAATTAGGTGGGGTTACTGAGTTACTGAGTCTTTTTCTCATGCTTTCCCACTCCCCTGGACTAAGGAATCATTTCTGTAATAGTCTTCCCTCCTATTATGGTCCTGTTTCATCCTCTATGTTCCCAAGGTTTGTCATACATTCTGTTGCATATAGAAAAAGTTTTGTTATAAGTTTTATTATATAATAAACACAGTAGAGTTTTATTAGTCATGCTTGATATCTGGTGACTTTACAGACACATCGCTGTATTGTCTTGCCTCAAACACTGAACTGATTATCCATTGCTTTCTTCTGAGCCATTTACTTACTTGCTTACTTTCCAGATGAAGCTCCAATCCTAGGGGTTTTTTTTAGTTTTCTTAGTAGTTTTCTCAATGGTTTCCCCTTCCAAATCCTAATCAGGTCTGACCCTGCTTAGCTTTTTGAGATTGGTGGGAAATCAATAACAGTCAAGCCACCTATTTTCTTTTTTTCTTGACCTTCCTAATAAGACATTAGAAATTCAGAATATTGTCCATATAAATATACTTTTACTCATGGGACATTCCCACTTTATGAAGTGGGGAAACAAATCTTGCCCATTTTTCCAGATAACTCTCACTCATTGTATTTCCTTAAAGTCAGCTCAAGGGTTGGGGAAGACCCAGAACAATATGGCCAATTGCATTGAGGGCAATAGGAAGTAAAGGGAATTGACTGAAATTGCTCACCTCCTTCTCCATCAATTGGCAGTGTTCAGAGGCTTTCAGTATTCTTTATTATTCCAAGAAGAGACATATCCACTGGCTCTCTGAATAATATTTTTGAAAGAGTTTCATGCCCCACCATTGAAATTGCTGTTGCCATTGATGATATTTCGTATAGAAAGATCCTTGTCACCTTGATACTACAGTATTATCTGCCTTTTTCATGGTATGAATTAAAGATAAATACAAGATAAAAGAAGGCCAATAGGTTGAGAGCAATTGTAAAAAAAGGAAGTTTGAAAAATAGCAAACAGATGGCAATACTTACCTTTGTTATACGCAGTAATGTTGAAAAATGTCTTGCCAGCTTTTAAAATCTGTTTTGACATTTAAACTTCAAAGAAAGGGAATCTTGCTGGAAGAGATCAAAAGCACAGCTAGTTTTGTACAGATTTTTGTTTACAAAAAAGAAAATGCTAGTGGATTCAAATATGCTTTTCATGCCCTGATGGAATATATTTTGGCTGATCTAGGAAATCCATCCACCTTGAAGGCTTGAAGAAAAGTTATGATTTAATTCTTGAGTTAAGCCTTGGGTGGTCCGTGGCCATAGTCACAAAAGCTATTTAAAGGGAGTCTGTGGTGAAGAAAAGGTTGAGAACCACTGCATTATCAAATAAAGAGTTTGTTAATGACTCAGTGTCCCAGAGAATTAAATGTACTGTAGTATCATCTAATCCAGGGGTGTCAAACTGCCGGCCCGTGTGCCGGACACGTCATCTGGAAGCCGCACCCACCCCATTGCTGGCAATGGCAAAACCGTCCCGATACGTCGCGCGACGCCATGTGTTGTCACGAGTTTGACATGTCTGATCTAATCTATATAGCCTTATTTTTCTTTAAAAATATATTATTAAGAGTAAAGCTCTTTCCCAAATGAACAATGAAATCTATTTTGTGGGGTAAAATGGCAAAAAATGTAGTGGTACTTAATGCATTTATCAGGGGATGATTACTTGTTTAGTTGTGTCAATACCCTACTGAATTTTCATCTAAACAGTCTAGGAAAAAGGCATTTAAAATGTTTATTTGGAACATCATAGGCTGACTCTCAGACTATATTTATACAACATTTTCTTCTCTCTTATGAATCCTATCTAGGAGAAAAGATAGAAGAATATCTGGCTTTTTATTTTCAGTGTGTATTAAATCCCCAAATGCTCAGATACTGACTGGTTTGCCAGCATAACAGATTCAACA